GTGCAGGGCAAAGGCACTGCTCTCCTGCATCCTTGCCAAAGAAATCATAATAAATGTTTTATGATTCAGAGGAAAATATATTCAGATGCTTGAGATAACTCCCTTGGAATTAGAGGTGAGGGTGCCTCATCACTGTTTTTTGAGTGTGCTTTGGGAGAGGAGTGAGACACCAGGATTTCAGGTGGGGCTGACCATGGTGGAGATAATGGATTCCACCCTTCTTTAGTTCTCCAGATGTAGCCTGATCTGGAAATAAGAATGAGAAATGAATATGAAATTATCTCCTTCCAAAAGTTGAGCTGGGAGGGTTATAAAATCCGTTATTAGAAGGAGCAGAACGAGATGGAGGCAAGTGTGATTTCTTAATTTAACATATAGATTTAGCATCAGCAGAGCAGAGCAAAATAATGGGCTAAAAAGCAGAATCTAATGGACATTTTAAAATGTCTCCATTATTTACCACCCTTAAGTGAGCATTTGAACGGTTTGGCTATTTTATGAAAAAATGTCAATGGAAAATTAATTTCAGAGTCATGTGCATGAATATTGATGTAAAACATCATTTCAATACAGAGGATTATTACTGTTGTAATTGGGGCCATTAGGAGCTGAAACTCTGTCACTTTAGGTAGCTGGTAATAAGTAAACAACTGACTGTGAAGTGTGAATGTGTGAGTAATGCCTGAAATCCACGCTGGTGATGACCAAGTGCTCTGCTCCAGCACCCACCCAAAATCCCCCAGGACTGGGGTGCAGGTGAGAAGTGGCCACTGGCTTGGTGCCATCACTGCTGGTTTGGGATTTCCCAAATGGAAGAGGCACATCCTTGAGCTTTGGGATACCCTTAGTGGGTGACTCTGCACTTGAGCACTCTGTGAGTGTGGAAAGAGCAGGAATGGCTGAGCACGTTCAGGTGGAGAGATGGGACTGAGGGCTTGGTGGTGTGTCAGGAAATCAGGGCAGACTTGGGCAAAATGTGGGGGAAGTCTGATTTTCCTGGGTGTGCACTGGGAGAGCACTGGAGGGTTTCCCTGTAAAGGAAATGCCCCTGTAAGGCCTCCCCCAAGCAAGGCAGAGAGTACATGACCAGAGATGCTCAATAACAGGAGCAGCTTCACACTGGAAGCACATCTAAAGCTGCTCTCTTTGCCCTGTGTTAGAGACAGGGGACGAGTATTTTTTATTAACCAGCAGAGGTTCTGCTGCAGGAACAGTTAAAGCACATAATCTTGAATTTTATTTTTTTTTCCCGCTCATCCATTTCTGGGACTGTGTAAAACTGCACATCTAACAATATACAGCAAAGTGCTTCAAAGAGGGTTCATGAAATACAGATTATGGTGGCTTTGCATGGCGTGACAAGGAAATACATTTTGTTGTGCTTGTGTTTATGCCTGTATACAGCTGGAACACAAATATTATTTTAGCACTTAATTTTAAAGAGCTGCTACGACACACAGATGCCTGTTGCTGTTCCAGGAGAGGAGCAGGAGGTGAGTGGGATATGTTCCTGCTCTGTGTTGAGTTCAGGGACAGAGGGACTGGGAATCTTGTGTGACTCCTGCTCAGCTCCCACTTCACACACAGTTACTTCAGTGCTTTTTAACTACCAAATCAGACCCAGAACAATTATTTCTGCCCTGGAGCTGCTGGGAATTGCCTCACATGGCTCAAAATGGGGCATAAAACTTTGTAAGTAGGAGTTCACAGCCTGCTTTCTGGCCTGTGTCCCTCCAACAGGATCACCTTTGTGATTGTCCCTGGCAGCAGCATTCCTCTCTCATGGCAGCAATGCCTTTTTACCCCTTTGGTTGTTATTTGCCTTGAAAAACCTGCTGAGAGCATCTCTTATCTCTCTGTTTTAAAGGATTCTCTGCAGAGGATGGGAAGTACTGTCCCAGCCCTTCCTCCTGCAAGTGAAGGACCTGACCTGCTTTTCTTAAATACTGGCATGGTTTGCTCTTTTGTATTTTGAATGTGACATAATTATTAGGTGCATCAAAAGCATACATTGCAAAGCTGAGACAGAGACATTAATGACGTATTGTAATAATGGATTATTAATGATCCATTTTTATACCCACATTTGCTTTGTGACTTGAGCTTGTCGTGCATGTCAGAGCTCTCTGCTGCTCTGAGTTCTGTTTCTGCATCAGCTTGCACTGCTGGTTGGGTACCAATGAAAAAAACAAAGTGAATTCTGCTCCCCTCAGCTGATGTAGGATAATCACTTTTGGTGTGTGACTTGATTTGAGGCAATCTGTGACCAATTTTTTTTTTGTGGAAGGAAACTCCTTTTTTAAGACAGACATTAAGTGCTATGAGATAAATTTAAAGGATCTGCATGATTTATTCTAAATTAGCTTTAAAGATTGGTTTTTTTTGTTTTTAAATCCAAAAGAATTGATTACTAGCCATATCAAAAACCGGGAGAAGTTGCTGCAGTGGTTTGGCTGTACAAAATTAATCTCAGATAAAACTCATAGCCCTGGTTCACATCTGGGCTGGCTTCACCCCTGCCAAGTCCTCTTGCAGGAACAGGCTCCAGGTGTTTCTGCCTCCTCCAGCAAACAAATGGCTGCATTAGCTTGCAGGAAACGTTTAATAGGTGTGCAACATGGAATATCAGTGTTGCAGTGTATAGCTTTATTAGCTGAGCTGCAGGAATTGTTTTCTGAGCTGTGTTGGTCCTTAGCACGGATTGCAGAATGGAAGGGAAGGTGTTTATTAGTCCTTGGGAGCCTTAAGACAGAGTAATACTTACCTGGCTGGAAATATGATCAGTCCCATAATGGATACTGCTGGATTTCAGGAAGGAACACACAAACCCATTTTGTAAGTGCTAAGCAAGAATTTTTAGGTGCCCTGGCAGGCACAGGGATGTGTCTCCCTGAAGAGTTAGCACACAAGGGCAGGTCTGGAGGCTTTTCTGAATAAAACTGTATCAATGAGCTGGGACAGGGCTTTGTATTTCAAAAAGAAAGATGTGCCATCTCCTGTTGCAGTGCCTAATCCTTCCAGTGTTCCCAGTCCACCAGAGCTAAGTGAGGTCCCACTATGACCATGTCTTTCCATCTCCCCAAATAGCTGTTAAAAATATAATGAATGGAATAGTGTTTAGGTATGATTTACTCTAAGTGGTAAGGTTTTGCAGAAAATCTAAAAATTGGAATGTTCATGCTTTTAAGTTAAGCCTCAAAATGAGGTGGTAGCTTCTATTTTAAAACCTGAGCAAACCAAGCAGTTCTGTTTTTCTTCTACACAGTGTAATGAACACAGGTCAAATATTTCAAATTTTTAACTGTAGTGAGAGCGAGAGCTTTGAAATTTTACTTTTGCCAGGTCATAGAAAGAAATAATATCCCAGCATTTCCTCTGGTGGGTAGACCCAGTGCCTATTTGCTGAGGCAGCCCTTGCAGTGCCTGCTCAGCTTTGGTCTGTGCTCTTTGGCCCCTGGAAACACAACCCAAAAATGATCTGATCAGCCCTTCACCCTGCATGGCTTGTAGTGAAACCAGCCCGTGGGAGTCGTGGTTCAGCAGGAGCAGACTTCTGCTGCCATTTTTGGGGCAGAGGGAGTTTCCTTGGGAGAAAACTTTGAGCAGGTCATGGGCTTCTGGCTGCCCCTGAAGCCCTTTGCCAAGCTCAAATTGCCCCGGCACAAGAGCAAATAATTCTGCAGCAGAGAGACCACAGAGGGAGCAGAGATTAGAATTGTTCCCATTTCTAATGAGAGAAAAAAAAATAGGGGGAGGGGGTATAGTAAATAAACAGTCAATAATTGTACCACTCTGAAACCTAATTACTTTTGGTATTTATAAAAAGGACCTGCATCATTCAAAAGAGTATGTTTCAGCCAATTTTACTGATTATGCCTCCAGTCATGAAGAGTTTTGTTTGTATTGATCTGATCCAGAAGTGGGATTGGCCCCAGAAATGCCATTCTTGTCAGGCTCCTGTTTTGCATAATATAATGCCTATTTCAAAAGTTTAGATATAGCCAGATTAATTTGCTCACAGGTAAGAACAACCCACAAGCTGTTGATTAAGAGGGGAAAAAAAAGTGCATTGAAACAGCCAACCCAAAACCAGCCCAGCCCTACACTTGACCATTTAAGCAGCATCCCTGTCTGAGCAGGCTGAGCAAGGTGTGAAAAGGTGATAGTGTAAAATGCTGCTTCTGTATTTATTTCTCTCTCTTTTTTTTGTCATTGCATGATGACAGCAGGCTGATACCCTGAGATGAGCTGGGCTTCTGTGGTGGCTTTTAACTGGGCTTCAAAATGTAGAACAGAGTGGTGTAATATTAAAGGGCCTCCTTTGAAAACTGTACTAAGATGGTGTTTCCTGACATTTCTTTGCTCTGCATTCAGCCTGGGGACCTGTGGAAAGACAATGTGTTTTTTGCTGTTGTTTTTCTCCTATTTAATCATTTAAAGCTGGGAAGAGCTGGGGTCTTAAGGAAAGTGATAGGGAAAACAATGTTGGGTGTAAGCCTTCTGCTTGGGTTGCTCTTGGCTTGTCCAAAGTACTATTCAGAATAGGGAAAATGTTGAATTGTCCAGGTTGGCTTGGATGCACAGGTCTCTCCAGCCTTGTGTCCTTCAGCCCATGATGGGACTGGCTCTGCCCAGTGACTGATTCTGTCTCTGGTGGAACTGGTGGGGCTTTGCTGAGGCCTGAGTTTGACCCTTTGGCTGCTGGGGTCAACCTGCTTGGCCTTTTCCCTGCAATTCTGCCTTTCCAGCCTTTCTGCATTTGGTGGTAAATACCAGCACTTCAGCCCATTTGGTGAGAGGTGTTTAAATTGCTGAGATGATCACAGGCTGCATTTCTATGTTGTTATCTCCACTGCTGATATTCAAGCGTGACTTGTGTGACCCAGCCCTGTGAATCATTACAGATTTTTGGTGCAGCTCCCTGTATCACTGTATCACAGACTTTATTGTGCCCCTCTTCCGCAGTGGCCTGATGGGTTGTGCTGTGTTTTTTTTTGCAGTGTGTGCTGGCACTGAGAACAAGCTGAGCTCCCTGTCTGACCTGGAGCAGCAGTACCGCGCCCTGCGCAAGTACTATGAGAACTGTGAGGTGGTGATGGGCAACCTGGAGATCACCAGCATCGAGCACAACAGGGACCTCTCCTTCCTGAGGGTAAGCAGGCTGCTGTTCTCCTTCCTTCCTCCTTCTTTCCCTCAGCTTCTTTTTTGGGGAGCAGCGATAGGTGCTGGGCTGGAAAAGACCAGGCTTCTCTGGCACCAGCTCTGCTGTGATGGAAGAGGATAATGAAATGCCAGGGATGTGCAGAGAACAGGAGCAATGTGATTGCTGTGACAGGTGCTCTGAGTGTGAGTGACTCAGATTTATCCAGGATGTGGGGGAGAAAGCTGTGCCACTGCAAGGTGACACCTCGCAGGTCTCTCACTTTGTGTTGCCCCAGGGCAGGTTAGGTGGGGTTTAGGAAGGTCAGAGAATCATGCAGATAAGCACTGGGGAAGCTAATCCTAATAAAATGCTAGATATGGACTGATTTATAGACTAAGCAAGGAAGAGTGAAATGTTTGTGGAGCATTTAGGAGAAAGAAAAAAGTGATTGCTGAATCAACATGAAACCCCCTTTGGGCATGAGACTGGAGCTAAGAGCCTAACAACTCCAGCATCCAGGGGAAGTCTGTGATAGATGAAGGCTGTACTGCTTTTGGGGAACCTTGATTGTGCATTCCCTCAGTCCTCTTTGCATCAAATTTTGGATTTGTGAAGGAACACTCCAGTGTGGTTTGCAGATATCCTATTGCCCTGCTGGCAACCACAAGAGAGAAAGGTGAACACCAAGTTCAAAGAACTTAACCCCATCATTATTTGGCATTTTACATTCTCTGTGTTTAAAGAAATATCCCTAAAGGAGTGATCCAGGTGGGCATCTGCAGGATGCTGCAGGGGATGTGGCTGTAATATGGAAGGCAGGTCTGAGGGCTAGGGTAGAAAAAGCAGCCTGTGCCAGTGTGCTTGCAGTCTGTGCTGTGACTGTACCCTCCATGACACAGATAAGGGTTTGCACTGCCCATACTGCTCTCCTGTACCTCTTAAAAATGCTGCTGTCACGTTGCAGGATGCGAGTCTGTGTGTCAGTGGCACGTTCACGTGGCAGGAGTGGTGGAGTTTAAATCTGGCAGCAGGAAGAGGCGGTGGGAGGCAGCCCCAGCTGGCTGGGTTACACTCACTCATTCCCTGTGCTGGGTCTCGGGTGAGCTGAGTGCTCAGTTCCAGTCTGTAAAACTGTGAACTTTCCACCACAGTTTCTAGCAAAGCCGAGCAGCGTGTTTAGCTCTGCTTCACATTGAATTTGTTGGGGTTTTCACAGCCTTACACACATTGCTGTGTATTTACTCAACGTGTGCACCAGGCTGCTGGAAGATCTGTGAGCAAAACTCAGCTAGCAGACAGGTCTGGAGTAAAGCTTGGGGTGCTAATTGCACTCAGACTAACAGATTGCCTGTTAATTTGAGTCACAAATGCCTCGGAAGTGAATGCTATCCCTACGTTTCACAGTTGTGACAGGTGGGGAAAGCACACATGCCTTTGCTCTGAAATAGATACAGCCTTGGTGCAGCTGGACCAGCCTTGGACAGGTGGCAGAGCCTCCTCCTGTGAGGGCAGGATCCCTGCTCTGCCCTGGGGCATCTCTGCAGTGAAACCCCCTGGTTGGAATTCATGGCAGGCAGTCCTTCCGCTTCGGCTTTCCTTCCTCCTTCTGGGAGGTGAGGAAAGCAAATTACTTGGAAATTAAGAATTAGTGTTCCTTGCAGAGAACTTCCATAAACAGCATGAAATACTGGTGGAAAGAAGGCAGTCAAATCATCAAATGAGATCAAGAAGGAAAGGTCCTGTTCAGTAAATGAGGGTGGTTTGGTCACCTGTGCTTTTTGGCGACAGCTACTACTGCTTTTTTATTAGTTTTATTACTTCTCTTACCTGCATCTGCTCCCTCACAGATGTCTCAGCAAAAAAGCTGAACTTGAAACAAAACTCAGCAAAGTGGAAGGCCTAGTTAGTATGATAAATTGTACTCATTAAAGTAGAAAACCAAACAGAAGAGAACATGTTCTCGGTGAGGCAAATAAATAAATGTTGGCACATTTACGCCGATAATTCGACATTCATTAGTCAGGCAGTATTACTCCTTTTATCATATTAAAAATGGTTTTAATGGCCAAATGAAGGTGGCAGATGGGACATAACTAAGAGAAAGGCTGTTTGTCTCTCTCACACTTAAACACGGTGAGCTCTCCGTGCAACATCACGCTCCTTCAGCCTGCTCCAGTGTTTAGTCTCTTGCAGTAATTGCCCTCTTCCTCCACCACAAACACTTCAGGCAGATGCTGCTGCAGCCCTGGGTTATCTGTGTCCCCAGCTGATGACAGCCATGGCTCTGTGTGCCCACCTGTCCTCTCCACAGTGCTCAGCTTAGCTGGGCAACTCCTTGCTCCAGGACAGAGGGAAGACCTGGGAAGCTGTAGGCATGCTGAGCCTTTCCATCATGCAGTAATAAACAAATAGCATAAATGAATTGAAGTGAAAAAACCCCATAATTTTATTTACCCGGCAGAGGAGCATTAAAAGATCAGCATCCCATCTCTCATATTTATTTAGACATTTATTCCCTAAGTAGATTTGCTTTATGTCTATGAGTTAGCTCTCTGGATATCTGCTGATGAAGACTAAAAGGGGCTGTCTGTCACCTGAATGAAGTGCTCAGCCACTTCAGCTTCCAGGCCTGCGCTTCATGAGGAGCTGGATTTCTGTAAGAAGGGATTGCATGTGCCAGTTGTTCCTTTTCCTGCTGTTCTCCTATGTGAGCAGAGCAGGAGGACCTATCATCTGCGTTACTTTAATATATTTTATTTTGGTTCCTGCTTGTGTCGTAGTCTGGGTATTGCTTTCCTGTGAGCAACTGCAATATGAACTTGTGTTCTGCCTGTGCTGCCTCCAGCTCTGCCAGCTCTGTTCCTGCTGCTTGGTGCTGCCCTGAACTCAATAGCAGGAAAAATTGTGTCTCAGCCTGGGTGCTGGGTAAGGACAGATATTTCTGACATCTGTCTGACAGCAGGCTTGCTTTGGCCTGCTTCTGAGGCTCAGCCTCTCACAGAAAATGTACAAGGGGTGATTCAGTTTTGGCAGTCCCACCTCCCTGTGGCAGGCTCTCCACTGGAATTGCAATGCCAGGGGGGTGATTGCATTGAGGAGGACAAATAACAGGTTGGGAAGCAGTCCCTCAGAGCTGCCTTGTCCCTGCCTGTCAGCAGTGACAGTGGGAAGGGTCAGGCTCCATCTCCTGCTGCTTCCCAAGCCACCAGCATGTTTCATCTAATTGCACAGCCAGGCTCTTGCACTGGGATTTGCTCCATGAAACCAGATAAGCTGCTGGAGCTGCTGCGTGTCTTGAGTCTCATCCAGGAGAGAGCTGAGATTTACTTCCCTGCTTTGGACTTCAGGGAAAAAACAGCCTTGAGAAAAGCTCAGGTTGTTCACTGGTTCATGTTGCAAACAACTGCTTGAAGAACAGAAGGGGAAACCTATTTTAGTTTTGCTTGGCAGAGCTGGCAGTTCCTATTCAGATGCTGCTGCAGCCCTGGGTTATCTGTGTCCCCAGCTGATGACAGCCATGGCTCTGTGTGCCCACCTGTCCTCTCCACAGTGCTCAGCTTAGCTGGGCAACTCCTTGCTCCAGGACAGAGGGAAGACCTGGGAAGCTGTAGGCATGCTGAGCCTTTCCATCATGCAGTAATAAACAAATAGCATAAATGAATTGAAGTGAAAAAACCCCATAATTTCATTTACCCGGCAGAGGAGCATTAAAAGATCAGCATCCCATCTCTCATATTTATTTAGACATTTATTCCCTAAGTAGATTTGCTTTATGTCTATGAGTTAGCTCTCTGGATATCTGCTGATGAAGACTAAAAGGGGCTGTCTGTCACCTGAATGAAGTGCTCAGCCACTTCAGCTTCCAGGCCTGCGCTTCATGAGGAGCTGGATTTCTGTAAGAAGGGATTGCATGTGTCAGTTGTTCCTTTTCCTGCTGTTCTCCTGTGTGAGCAGAGCAGGAGGACATATCTGCGTTACTTTAATGTATTTTATTTTGGTTCCTGCTTGTGTCGTAGTCTGGGTATTGCTTTCCTGTGAGCAACTGCAATATGAACTTGTGTTCTGCCTGTGCTGCCTCCAGCTCTGCCAGCTCTGTTCCTGCTGCTTGGTGCTGCCCTGAACTCAATAGCAGGAAAAATTGTGTCTCAGCCTGGGTGCTGGGTAAGGACAGATATTTCTGACATCTGTCTGACAGCAGGCTTGCTTTGGCCTGCTTCTGAGGCTCAGCCTCTCACAGAAAATGTACAAGGGGTGATTCCATTTTGGCAGTCCCACCTCCCTGTGGCAGGCTCTCCACTGGAATTGCAATGCCAGGAGGGTGATTGCATTGAGCAGGACAAATAACTGGGTGGGAAGCAGTCCCTCAGAGCTGCCTGTCAGCAGTGACAGTGGGAAGGGTCAGGCTCCATCTCCTGCTGCTTCCCAAGCCACCAGCATGTTTCATCTAATTGCACAGCCAGGCTCTTGCACTGGGATTTGCTCCATGAAACCAGATAAGCTGCTGGAGCTGCTGCATGTCTTGAGTCTCATCCAGGAGAGAGCTGAGATTTACTTCCCTGCTTTGGACTTCAGGGAAAAAACAGCCTTGAGAAAAGCTCAGGTTGTTCACTGGTTCATGTTGCAAACAACTGCTTGAAGAACAGAAGGGGGAACCTATTTTAGTTTTGCTTGGCAGAGCTGGCAGTTCCTATTGTGGGCTGTACTTATTTCTTAATAACATCTCCATATTCAATTTTCAAAATAAAATACACAATTAGTGTATCACATACCAATCTTCTGCAAGTACTTCTGTTAAACACATTTGGTAAATGTGAGTTAGCTTTGACTAATCCCCTGGCTTTTAGCAATTCACAGTCAGTAAATTGTCTTTTGGTGCCCAGATTTTATTTAACCAATTCAGATTATTTATTTTTAAAGACACGATCAAAGTTCTGTGCTGTTCCCTGCCATAACTCTCCCAAGTGATTATGAAACTCATTTTTAACCACAATCAACAGTCTTCAAAAATT